TGTGATTCTTATTTATCAGGTACTTGTCAAAGTTTTTGTTTGTTTGTTTATTTGTTGTGTTGGCTTACACGCATCATTACCATGGCTATCTTTAGAGTGTCTGCTTTTTTTAAATAGTAACTTTTACCTCTTATTTTCTTTCTTTTTCTTTGCCTTTCTTTTTTCTTTGCATGTTTTTCTTTTTTCTTTTTTTGGAAGGGACATTAACTTGAATCTATTTAGCTAGTGTCTAGTTTATATTTGTCAAATATTTTGGACTAAATTTATTAATACTGACTTGTTCATAAAAGAAATTCTTTCTTGAAGTTGTAAGACTGGATTCTTTAAAATATGGAATTACACTTAGATTAAAGAAATGAACACACCAATCACGTGGGAGCTTATGTAGCTGTAAGAGAAGGCAAACATGAATCGATACACCTAATTTTGCAATAGAAAATCATCGCTTGAGACAGTATTTCAACAATCATGTTTGTGTAAAGATTGGATTATCTAGGATAGTTAATGTCAAATATTATGAATTATATATCAAGTATTCAGTTGGAATTTACAAATCTTATGTTATAACTATATATATATATATATAGTCATATTGGCTGCCATATTTAAGCTCTGTTTCATCATGTGGTTGTTTCAGCAATATCAGAGAAGAGGGACAGGTGCAAAAAGGTAAACTCAACTGTTTGGGGCAATGAGCATTCTAATGTTACTGAAAATTATATCCCCTCAATTTACCATCTGCTGTGCTGTTCTCCTTCTCTCTCACTCTCCCCAAACTTCCTCTGTTCTCTAGTGTGCTACCAATTGCCCTGAACTCTTTGAGCTCTTCTGTTTCCATAACTACTCATTTTCTGATTCCTTAGCGGTATTGACAATTTCATCTTGCTATGATTGAAATATGTTATTTTGATGATGAATTGCACTAATAGGTTTTCGGTTATTAAGCTTGCTGAGCTATCTTGTGCTTCCGGGATAAGCCTGATTCCATATCAAATATTGTGTGTGTGTGTGTGTGTGTGTGTGAGATTAATCATGTGTTTCTTTAGGAGTGTCTTTGTCAAGTTCTTAAATGAAGTTGACCTGTGAGTTTTCTTTCTCATAATATCCTTGTTCAGATGTAATATCAAGATTGTTAGGATTATAGTAGCCTCCAATTGAGTTGGGAGGTTTTACTTCTACGTCTAAGAAAACTTGCATAAACTTGGGCTCATATGTTCCTTAAGGATTTGGTAATGCTTACATGTAAAACTCAGCGTGGTTTTTTTTATATATATTGCTGTATTGTACTTGGAAGTTTATTATGCATTTTATTTTGTTTTTGAAGGTATAATAACAAGTGATTGTAATAAAAATATGTAATATTTTTTAAAATGGGAGAGGATGTGCCTATACTTACAGGCAGACGGAAATGGACTAGGTAGCATCGGAGATTTTAGAGGAAAGCCTAGGTAATTTAGAGAAGCATTTAAAGAGGAAAGAAGACATGAGAGCAACTGGTCCTTGAAAGAGGATAGAGTGACTTTTGTCTGATCTGTTGGGGAAGTTGGGAGGATAGGTATTGCTCCAGGCTTTTAGTTCAAGAGATAGGTTGGTGCAGAGACGTTCTTGCAAGGCTCTTGTGGTATCGGTGAGAGAGAAGCCAATGTAATATGCCAAACTGAGGTAGCAGACCTTCTGGAGGAATGTCAAAAAGAAGAGGATATGCAGATTAGTCAACTTTGATCTATGTTAACCATAAAAATATACAGATTTACTGGGGAAGTTCATTAGAATTTCAAATAAGGAAATTGAACAATATTGACAGAACTATATGCTGTTAACTCATTTTTTCCTCGTACATGAATTCTTTTATTACTTGAGAGTATTTTAGGAAGTAGTATAACTGCCTTCCTGTTGTTTAGTGCAGGGACCGAAGCCTGACGTATGTCTCTTTAGCCTGGTTCCTGTTAGCCACTTTCTTCCTAGTCTTCCAACTAACAAGAAAGATGAATGCATGGGAAATAAGTAAACTGCTTTTCTCTATCTTTCATAGTCTTCTTTCTCTTAGAGGCTCATCTCTTCACTCCCCTAGCAGGAAGGTCAGCCCTTGGCCTTCTGTTCTTCCCTCATGCCGTTGGAAGACTGGATGCGAGCCCAGGTCTGGGGACTGTGAGTTGTGGTGAACAGAGCCCCTGATGTTCACTCTGGAGCCCGGTCCTGGCAGTGCTCCCTGGTCATGTGTTTCCCATCTGAACGATGAACCTCTTCAACCAGAACATCTTTATGGACACTTAGAGGTCTTAGCGATGCTTAACAATGGCTGCAGGGCCCACCTGCCATGGGAGATGTTTCATGTGCAACATTACCATTGTTGAGAGATAATAACCTGACGATATTCTCTTTCTCTAAAGGCACTTCAGACTCCTGCTGCCTGTCTCAGTCGTCACCGTTTTTGTCTTCATTTAATTTGGAAACTGTTTTGTTCTCTTTAACTTGTTTTCCTTGACTTCATTTCTAAATCAGAAATGAAGAATGTTCATTTATAGAATGTTTTGTAGAATGTTTTGCCACTGCAGATCTCACGTCTTCTTTATCCATTTTCAGAACCACTACCTAAATTGTATGTTTTTTAGGTTTTTAAAAATCTGCTATTTTTCCTTCCATTCTCTGCCCTTTCCAGACCATCCTTTCTATCAAGTGCTCATTCAAATTCCAAAGACATCTGCTCGAATGGGTCAAGTGCTTTCCTGAAACCTTTCCAAAGCTTTGCTGTCACATGTGAAATCAAGCCCAAACCTGTTAACATGGAAGTGAATTTTCTACAGTTGGTATTTAAATATATCTTTCAGTTTCCCCTTTCCTAGTAGCTGCTTAAGTTGCTGTTACTTTTTCTTTTCTATTTTCTCTTTTTCCTCTTTCCTTTCCTTTTTTATTCGTCATCTCTTGAATTTGCTTACTTGTTCTTACTTCATTTCACACATTTATTATTGCCTGTCACATTCAAGGTGCTGTGTTGTATGCTGCAGGCACTGCAGGGAGCATTGCAGACACAAAAGCCATCGGGTTCTCTCTCTTGCCCGGAATGGAGACACTGATGGAGTGAACATGAGTTATACCAGTTACAGCCACAGGGGGCACCATGGCCTCCCATGTTGCCTTCTTGCTTTCACCCTCTAGGACATCTTTCCTGTCACTCTCTGCTCAAATCTTTCCTTTTGTTTTACCGAAGCTCAAATCATCTCTTCTTTTCATGTAAGAATAGTTCCTGTAACAGCCAGGTGCAGTGGCTCACGCCTGTAATCTCAGCACTTTGGGAGGCCGAGGTGGGTGGATCACGAGGTCAAGAGATGGAGACCATCCTGGTCAACATGGTGAAACCCCGTCTCTGTTAAAAATACAAAAAATTAGCTGGGCATGGTGACATGTGCCTGTAATCCCAGCTACTCAGGAGGCTGAGGCAGGAGAACTGCCTGAACCCAGGAGGTGGAGGTTGCGGTGAGCCGAGATCACGCCATTGCACTCCAGCCTGGGTAACAAGAGAAAAACTCCATCTCGGAAGAAAAAAAAAAAGAATAATTTCTGTAATTCTTCTCCACAAGCCCCTAATAAACACTCTACATTGATAGACAATCTGTTTAAAGATACTAGCGCTGTTTCTTTAACTGAATTACAAACTCCTGGCAGGGTGGCTTATTAATAACTGTTTATAGTTCCAGTGTCTTGTACATATCTTGCTCCATGTATTTTGTTTTCATTTATTTGCCTATGAAATGTAGACATTTATATAAAAATCCTTAAAACATCAAGATATCATGCACATTACAATTTCAAGCTCACACCCGGTTGCCTTTAAGCCGAAGATAAATTTCACTTGATATAACTTCTCCCCAATAACTGTTAATAGGGAAAAGACATGTTTACTGTATAGAGATATTCCTTAAAAATAATTACTCTCATTTACATCAACAAAGCAATTTATACAGGACATAATATGGCATGGGGCCATATGGAAATATGCCCCCATTAAAAACATGACACTGATGTTTTTAGCATCAGTGTTTGCTGGAGGAAATTCTTTCCTGCGTTACACACTTTTCCCTCCAACCAATAACGTCATTGATTTGACAGTTGTTATGTGCTTGGTTAGTCAGTGTGGTTATTCAAAATACTAAATCCAAGAAAAAAAGACAATCAGATGACATGGTTAATTGTCAGTGATAATGATGAGGTATCCCACGACTGGTAGGCAACTCACTGAATACTTTTTAGTGTTAGAAATGAGCTAATGAAAATTGCAAAAATGGCTCATTGAAGCAGCATTCTATCTCTCTTCAAACACTGTCATTTTATAATAGTCAGGCTCTGGGCTGGAGGTTGTCTAATAGGAGTTAACAGTGCTTGTAAAATCCTGTCTCTACAGAGTGGCTATCTCCTAATTTCCCTTAGAAAAAAATGCAAATGAAGCCTAGAAGTAACTGGATTTCTCATCTAGAAAGGTCTGAATGTGTTTAACAAGTCTAATCATGGGGCCAAAATAGAAACCCAAAGGGCAGGGAAATGGAACGTCTAATTTAAAAGAAGGCAAATGGTGCTTGTGTGCTTGGTCCTTGCTCCTAAGGAGGCTTTTGTAATATTAAAAAATCTGCAGCTCTTTTGAGTTGAGTTGCACAGGAAATGGTCTTGTTCGCATTCAGTATTCCTCATGAATCATGTGAATGCTGTGTTATTTTCTGCCCAGCCCAAAGCCAAAAGGAAAATGCACATCTGGCTTGTAAATCACAACCAAGCATTGATGCCTCACTTGCTCATTATTGGGTGGCTGCCCTCTGTGCTTTACAGGTTCTTAGTGTGGCTTAGGGGCATCCTGAGGGAAACCTCCTGTGGCCTCTGAAGGATGGCATAGAGGGACCTCCAAATCCTCTCTGAAATGTAACGTTTGCTACCTGATGTACACTTTCTGTGGTCCCCAGAGGAAATATAATTCATTTTTATCTTTTTATTTATTTATTTTTTCTGTTTAGAAATTGGCCCCTGGTTACGGGAGTTCAGAGCGAAGAATGCTGTGGATTTCTCGCAGTTAACATTTGACCCAGGACAGAAAGAACTTGTTGTAGGAGCAAGGTGAGAGATACTGTGTTTTGCCACCGCAGATATTTTTGGACTTCATCTGACATCTGTGCAGTTATGTGTGACCTTCCCTGACAAAAATGAAGACTGATGAACAATATTATTTCCTATAAGAATGAAATACAGTATGAATGTCATAAAATACACTACTGCTAATAAGATGTTGATGCTTTCCTTCAGACCAGGCATTGATTGTGTCCTCGCCCTGTGCCAGGAACTGTTCTAACATGAATTAACTCATTTGTTCTTCCATTCAAACCTGAGAGGTAGGTACTATCAGCATTGCTGTTTTAGAGATGAGGAAACTGAGGAAGAAAGTAGATAAATGAGTTGCCCAGGGGCATATGCCTAAAAACAGATGGACCTGGATTCCCAGCCCAGGCTGTTTGACTCCAGAAACCACGTTCCTGACTTCCCACTATATTCTTCAGTAGGATTCTAGAGATCCAGAGATCTTGATGTGTACTCCAAGGCCCACCACCACCTTTCTTGTAACCTTGATTAGGCCATATAACAGTTAAGTTGAGAATTCAAGGAAGTTATTTTCATCTGTGTCTCTCAAGGGCATGCATGTGCCTGTATCTAAGTGAACACCTGCATCCCAGTTTGATGATGAGGACACCAGAACACAATGAAAACAAATTTGAGTTCTTTCCCCGCTTTTCACTCACTTCCTTAGAAAACCTGCATACCTGTTTGGGGATTGTGTATCTGTCTGTTAAGAAAATTTATATTAAAGTTGAAGACAGCGGCCTTTTGTAGAATTGGGTTCTTCTGACATCTAAGGATGGCACATTGGGCAGTGGAGAGTTCTTTATCTTTTCCATCCATATTTACCAGAGTAGAAAGCATACCTTTCATAGCTGCGGAGGTTTTCCAGTCCCTGTATAAACTTGAGTGAAACTAAATCTAGCTTATGCTCTGGGCACTCTAGCTGAACACAACAGTTTCTAGGATCGCTGCTCTTGCTCTCAGATCTTGAGGAGTCCTTGTACATCCACGCAACACCTGAAGTGATGAAGGGTTGTGATTTTACCTGAGTACATAGAGGTTGGCAGAGTTTATTGCACCTAACTAGTTACTTTCAGCTCTTCCGATGTTTGTGAGGAGGTGGTGAGTATAGATGGGACAAAGCTACCTGGTGTTCTTTTCCTTCCTTTAGTCCAGTCAAAATACTGGGTGGTTTCTAATGCTCGCGTCCATCAAACTTCATCACTTGGAGTTCAGCCTGTGTTTTGCAGCAGTGGAAGTTAGCCTCCTGGCCTCCAGATGTTCTCCTTCTGCATACCACAGCCAGCATCGTCTTTTAAACATGCCCACCTTCAGTAGCTCCCAGTGGGTCAGTGCTGGCTCCCTGGTGTGGTACACCAGCTCTTCTGCCTTGCGTTCTCATCTCCCTTCCAGACTTCCTGTTTTCATTCTCATATGTTCCAGGCATGTGGAATTATTTATTCTGTCTGCAGTTATGGAATATGCTCTTTCTTACCTCTGGGCTTTTTCCCTTCTGACCTCTTTCTCATTTTCTGGAATACTGGCTACCACCCACCCCTACTCCAAATTCTCTGCTTGGTAAACTCCCACTTACAGTAAGAACCTGGATCACAGGTCACCATCAGTCCTGAGCTGCCACATTCCCTGCCCTGTGTGGCCCTAGTAGCACACCTGACATCTGCTTTTTTTGTTCTGCACTTATTGTAGAATGCTGCATTGTTTCTTGACAAGTCACCCTTATCAGATGGCAACTTACCAGAAGACAAGGGACATGCCTGTCTTCTTTATTTCTGCTGGATATAGCACAGATTTTTACTGCTCATAGAAGCTCACAGATAACAGTTGATTCAACACACTTATTTCCAGAATTGAACTGGTAATTGTTCCCCTCTGCATCTGGGTGAACACTTAGGGGAAAGGGAGTTGGGATTATAAAAGCTTATGCCAGATACTTATATTTGGCAAGGGCATGAGCCAGTGGCAGGCCGTCTACACCAAAGCTCACCCTGAGGGAAAATGAGCTTTCACTCTGAGCTAAGGGAACAGACCCCTTAACGGGGGGAGCAGGTACAAATATGACCCCAAGTAGTGTTTTGAGTATTGCATCCCTCATTCATCTCTATAGAACTCTGGAAAAGGTTTTACTATGTCTTTGTCTCTGGAGGTCCTGGGTGCTGTGTGAACAGATCAGCACTACATTCTCTGCAAGTGATTGGCTTTTGGTTAGTGACTCAAGATTTTCCTAAGGGATGTGAGAAGCCAGGTGGAAGTTAGGGTATTGTGAAGAGACGTCTTGTGCTCCTGTTCTGGCTGCAGATAGCAACTAGGAATTGTTCTCAAGGGGTGCTTGTCCCAGGAGGTCTCCATTGCAGAGTCCCTGGAGTTCTCTATTCCAGTGTCAGTGGGGTCTCTCTCTCAGTATCCCTAAAGGTCTCTGTCCAAATCTCTGATGGTTTCCATCTCAGCACCCCTGGAAGTCTATATCCCAGTGTCTCAGGGATGTCTCCATTCCAGTGTCCCTGCAGCCTTCACCCCATGTCCCTGGTGTTTTCATCCCAATGTCCCTGGAGTGTTCATCCCAGAGTCTCCATCCCAATGTCTCTGGTGGCTTCCATTCCAGGGCCCCTGGAATCTGCATCCTAATATCCCTGGAGTCCTCATCCCAACATTTTTGGAGGTCTCCATCCTTTGCATATCAACATGGTCTGCTGGGAAGGATTAGGTGGGCCACTGAGTCAACCTGGCATGCCATATGGCATGGTGGACACGAATACATGGGATTGCTGGACTTAGCAAATAAAAATCTAGGATGCCCAGTTAAATTTGCATTTCAGATAACAACCTTTTATATTCTTATCATAAGTGTGTTCCAAAAGTTTGTTGACCCCTGGAGCGTGGGCTGAAGTTTTCTATTCTACAGCAGTGTGTGGTACATTATAGACATTTGATAAATAACAGAAAAAGAAAAGGCTGGCCCTTATTTAAATGACTCTAAGCCAGTTTCAGAGCCTAATTTTCTCATCTTTAAAGATAATGTAATAATTTCTACCCCTTTCAGCTGTTGCAAAGATTAAATAAAATAACCCATGGGAAGTTATTGTCACTTAACAGTCAAGCTGGTGAGCATGCAGCCTTTGTGAAGCTCTGAGGGTCTTCATGGGTTTCAAATACGTGTGCACATGCCACTGTGGAAGAGAATAAGAATTTCACTTAGGAAATTTCATGGGATTAGGCTCAGAAAGTTTGAAAGGGAGGGTGAGTCAGATATAAAACTTTAAAAATAACCCAACCCTCAGATTCCTGTTTGGCAAAGCTTGACTTAGCAAGCATAAGTTTAGATAACAGGTGTATCATTTCAGAAATCAGTAATAATTTAAAAATACAGGTTGTGAAAAAAATAGAATGACACTGGATTTTTCTGCATAGCACTCGGCATCGTGGAGCCATTTATTGGATGGTTTCACTTTATACTAGCGACACTTCATGTTCCTGAAATTGAATTCAGTTAAAGATTCTTTGTACTCTTTGGTAAAAGAAGTGCATTGTGCTGCAAAAGAAAAGTCTCTCTTTAGGCAATTTGTAGTTATGTAGCATGAGAGGGTACTTGGATCTGAATTCAGGCGATTTCTGGAAGAAGTCATACATTCTCATTTCCAAGATGCACATGACCTTCAACGCATTGACAGTCATATTCTGTTTTACCCCAGTCTCTTCAAAAATTAATAATATTTATGTTTTCAGTGATGAAACTTAGGCATCTTCATTTTCAAAACTGTGGAAAATACAGGAAAGCATAAAGAAAAAACAATTTCAGAGATAATCACAGTTAAGCTTTTCAGTTATTTCCTTGCATTATTTGATTTCTATTTGTTCCTACTCTTGGGATTATATTTGTTGAATGATTGCATATTTCCTTGTCACAAATCCTACTAAGATCACTTTCCTTGGTATAAAAGAATCCCAAATGAAAGAACATGTTATCACTGTTTTTGGTAAAGAAGATTATAAAGTCTTCACTGCCATTCGGCAGTGATAATACTCCACACACTTGGTACAAGTGTAAGTTTCACTGCAGATTGAATTGTTGCGACAGATGCAAGGGAGGGTGATTACATTTTTATTTCCCAAATGAATTTCTTCATCTTTAGTGTTTCAGGTTCATTCTAAGGGTGGCAAGTGATTCCATCCCAAATCACTCTGATATGTATTCTGTGCTGAATCCAAGCACTGTTCCAAATGGCAGCTAACTCAGTTGACACATAAGGCAGTGTTTGACTGCTGTTGGGCATTTACAAATTGGCCATATTTTGATAATGCATAAAGCCCTACAGTGCTAATGAAAAAGAGTTTATTATCAAAGCATCTGTAGCATGAGTCTTTGCCATTGAACTGTGGGGAAGATGTGGAGCCACTGTTTCTGGCTGTTTAGGTACTTTTCTTCAAAATGTGATTTTTCCAAATGAAAACATTTTTTAACATGCATCTTAGTTTCTAAAATGTGAATTTTCTTCAGGTTTTTAAATGTGCTTCTTGGTCTTTACTTTTTTCCAGTAACTCAATTCTGTTTCTCTTACTTTTCTCCAACAAGCTTGAGTGTAATATAAACACATAAATAAAAGGGCACAGGCCTGGCGGGGTGGCTCACGCTTATAATCCCAGCACTGTGGGAGGCTGAGGCAGGCAGATCATGAGGTCAGGAGATCGAGACCATCCTGGCCAACATGGTGAAACCCTGGCTCTACTAAAAATACAAAAGAATTTGTATGGATTTCTGATTAGCATGTTTATTTTTAAAATAAATAAATATGCAAAATCTGAATGCTTCCAAGGCAGAGCTTGGTCTTCCTTGCAGTAACAAAAAAAAATGATTGGTTGAAAAATTTTAGTTTATTATTTTGAACCATTTGGATAATGGTTTGAATTTACAGAAATAAAAAAGGAAAGATTAACTTGCTGTTTTTGTGCTTGGGCTGAATTTGCTTTAAGTATTCAAAACTCTTAAG